CCTAGCTGTCTGACATACACCGAATTTCCTAAGAACAGCCAATTCTTTGTTGCGATGGCGGTGGAAACAACAAAATACTTCCTTCGGCGTTACGGTTGGGCCGTCGCATGAACGCTGACGAAACATCCCACTCGCCCCTGACCCCCGATACTTGCGTGAACAATTCCTAGAACAAGGTAATGCGCCTTGGTATGACTTCCCCATGATTTGATACTTGATTAAATGCTAGAATAACCCCCAAAGCTCAGCCATGAATTGTGTTGGAGTCAAAATAAATAAAACCTCAGGGAGAAAGCGCATGTATTTCTATAAAAGGCTCTATGGTACAAACGTAATCCCAGAATTCACATCGAAATCAATAGCATAGCTTCACACCAAAAATCCTTTAAAATCTTAAATTATTTTAAATCCATACCTCATGCATGAACGGCAGGTCGCGGACTCTAAAAGTCAAGGGCAAAATTACTTGGTTTGTGCACATCAAGTGGCAACTTTGGTACGGCAGGTGCCCATCGAGTACCTTTCCCTCCACTTCCAAATTGTCATCATCTCCAAATTCACCAATGCTTGTGTCTTGCCCAGGCTCCCGATCTGAATTGGCAGAGCGTTCTTCCACCAACTCTTCTACTGTGGATGAACCAGCTACTCCAATTGTGGGCGAAGACGCGGCCAACGTGGAAGTCGTTCGACTTCGTGGAGCGGCTGCGACTGTTCCATTCGATAAGGGAACAGATTGTCCAATAAAACGCTTTAAGACGGTCATTCCGCCTGCCACCGGCACCTCACCTCCCTATGGAAAGTAAATCGTACTTTAATTTGGTATTTTTCACCTGACAAAAGGGAGCTCGTGTAAATCACGCCATCACCAAATCCTACCACACCTTTCTAGTTCCATAGCAAAACGGCTTTTCGGGAGTTGAAATGGCACTAGCACTGACAATTGTAGCCCAAGGAAAAAAGCCTCAGCTTCGTTGCACCCTTCAATAAGGAATTATTCTTGAAAATCCACAAGAAAATGTGCATCTAGACTGTCAAATATTCCAAGGTCGAGGGAGAAAATG